TCCAGCTCATCTGTATTACTCTATTTTGGAAGCTAGACAGAGGGCACTCAAGTGACACCGCTAGGGAGTACGGATTGTAACAATCTTGGTTGCGGCTCTTGCAACTTCCCGGCTCCGCTGTCATCTAAAAAGTTCACGCTCGAGAACCGCTGTTGACACACAGAAATAAAATTGAGAATATGTTTTTGATGGGCTGCATCGCGGCTGTCGGTAGTGTCGGGCAGCTCGGGGCGGCCGGGTGAACAGGGCACACACACTGTCTCTCGGTCTTCTGTTGCAGGGGGACTGAAATCTGACTTCAGAATGTAGAAATGTGGAAAAAATTAGGATCAATAGCTTTGCCCAAGACCAAAACTCTCAGTGCCTTCTTAGCGCAGTAGGCAGCGCGTCAGTCTCATAATCTGAAGGTCCTGAGTTCGAGCCTCAGAGAGGGCAAATACATTTTGACTCAGAAACGTAGGGACAAATAAAGTTTCCCAATCCTGTAGAGGAAATCTAGAAATCGTCAACTGACACACACCATAAATCTAATGAGGCTGTAATCTCGAGATCTTTACCTTTTTACTTTAGTACCTCTTGCTCAAGACTTTTAAATATGCCTACCACAGTGCGTTGCGTAAAACTAAATGTGTGCCTAATATAAATCTCAGTCACCTGCTGGCGCTCTAGAAAACTGACACTAATCTAGAAGCTCCAAATAGTTCAGATATGCTATCTTGTTATTGGGAGGAGGTTCGAGCCTCTCATCGGGGTTAAGTCTCAGGCTCTAGGGATTTGGGGGGTCTGGTCATGGTCAGTTGACCCGGAATTGCAAATGCAGATACCTACCACAAGGTGGCGGAGTTTTAGGAAATGAACCATAGATCCCTTTTAAGGGAGCCTGTCTGCATCTAACCAGAGAATTATCAAATCCAGAATCCCGTTAAACTTGTTTCACTATTGGTTTGAGTTGCTAAGAGCTGTGTTTCAAATTCAAGCGATATAAAAGTAAAACCCATTAAAGCAGTGTGATGATACATAGCTGTAATGGCTGCATTCGGGAGGCTGAGGAAGGATTGCCACACTTACAGGTTGTCTCAAAAAACCAGTAGACCAGCAGAGTTATCTGCTATGCAGCTCTGTTTATTTCACTGTCACAGATCCAGGCCAAGGTCTGCTATGGGACACAAATCGGCTCTGCATCATGACACAGTCATAGCAAGTCCGAAGAAACATCTACAAGTCCGAAGAAACATCTACATTATGCCCCGGGAAGATCTTGTTGCCTAGGGGTCCTAGGATGAGCTCTATCTCAGTGACACTACATGAACTGGATAGGACCTACCTTTCTAACCCACCATTAGGTGATCAATAGACAAACTGACAACTAGTTACATTCAACTCTAAACATGTGGGGCACAATGCATGGGCATACAGGTCTTAGAAAAAGGTACACCATCTGTCTTTGAGTGTGGTGGAGACTACAAAGGTTGCTATTGGTTATTATGGGAAGAAGTAAGACAGGGTCACTCTCCCTAGTCTAGGCTGCCTTTAAATAAGTGGAAAGTCTCTCATGCTGAGATTACATGTGTAATGATTTACTAAAGCTTGTCTGTGGATTCAGAAAGCAAAGTAAACCACAAGCCATAGAAGCCAGGCACACACCTTTAATCCCAGCAGTCAGAAGCGAATGAACAGAGGTGAGATCCAAGCACAGTTAAAGGTAATTTTCTGATTATTTTATGTTGCTACTTATGGTACTCAGAGAGTGGTGTACTGGTTATACTGTGACAGCTTCCATTGAGTAAAAAAAAAAAAAAAAAATTAAAAACATGGCCAGTGAGATGGCTCAAGGGGTATGGGCACCACTCACCAACCCTGACAATATAACTGTGTCCCTAGAACTAACATGGTAAGGAGTGAATTGACTCCCACAAGTTGTCCTCAACCTCCATATACACACATGCATGCACACAGAAATAAATATATAAAAATATTAAGAACATTTGTCAATGGTTTTATTTGATGAGATGCTCTCTAAGAACTTGCCCCACCTAGTACTTGTTCCGTATTCTTTCCTTAGTTCATCCCCGCCCCCAGAGTTTATCAGTAGTGGACACGGTTATTACACTGTATATTCATTTTTGTGTATCTGTCACTCCTACACTGGCATGTAAGATTCCCCGCAGTTTTTGGTTAGCTTTGTCCACAGCTGTACTTTGTGAGTACGCCTGCCACATAACATCAGTTAATGTTTGTTGATTAGTGGATGAGACAATGGGAGATGAGGGGCCCTAGACCTTTTTACAAAGCACTGGGGGTGGTCTCAGCTGCTTTAGTCGCTCTGGCACAGTTGCTCTGGGAGAGTTGCTCTTCCAGTCCGCTCCTGAGTCTTGCTGTCCCAGGTGTACATGGGTCTAGGAAATTTTAATTACCTCATTAGAAACTGTGCAGTTTAAAAAGTATGAGGACCATGGTAGGTTACAATCTTGCAAATAAAGTAACATTTTAACAATTGCGTTTTGTTTGTAAAGAGTGTGAAAACACAAGGCCCCACTGGGAGTCGAACCCAGGATCTCCTGTTTACGAGACAGGCGCTTTAACCAGCTAAGCCATGGAGCCACACGGCAGCAGGTAGGGAAGACAGTTAAATATATCCTATTTTATTTCGACTTGGTGGGAAAATAAAAAAAGTTTACACTATCTAGCAATGCCTATTTTTATCAGAGAAGAATCAGCTGTGAAAAGATGCTGCGTTTTCTGTAGTAAGACTGAAAGCCTCACACACGGAGAGGAATCAGTCCTAGAATCAGATATTTTCCTCTTATCACAAAGACAGGCACCACACACACACACACACACACACACACACACACACACACACACACACACACACTCAGCTATGGAGTGACAAAGCCCATCCACGATAAAGCAGATAAATGTGTAGGCGCGGCACTTGTGCGTACGTATGTGCTGTGCAAGTCTTTGGCCTCTTCAAAGAGCTGCGTAAGAAATAAACCATTTACAGTGGTCTCACTTTCCAGATTTGCTGACGACTGGCGACCGATCTTCAGCTACGGGTGTCTGCAGGTTTATGCCTTGTTTGAACCTCATAAGATCTATTTCAAGGACCATAAAGACATTCTCACTCAGAGCCTCTGGAGGGAGGGAATGGGGAGGCTGGAGCTTGCACCCTGGACAGTAGGGATGAGAAATAGCTTGGTTTCCTGGGAGTGGAGGTGGAGCGCTGTGCTTAAGCTGGAAGCTGGCTGGTGCTGTGACTGTTGGGGGCGGGGATGGGGTGGAGTAGAGGAGAGATCCTAGAAACGAATTTTCTAGGCCACAAGAATGGGGCAAGCAGGATCATCTCCTCAGGGCTGGGGAGGACATGGAGAGTCGCATCAAATGCAAACGGGTTCCAAATCGAACTGTGGGAATTAAGTGCTACTTCTGAACACCTTCAGCCAAAGGCTTTCACCCTACGGACTTTACAATATCAAGCAGAACTCGGATTCCCAGTGTGTAGAGTTAAAAGACTGAGGTGGGCGTAGGGAGAGACCTTTGTCTTGTAGTTGCTCTCATTAAAATATCCAATCCTGTGGTGGTGTACACCTGCAATCCCAACACTGGGAAGGCAGAGGCAGGAGGATTGCCTTGAGCCTGAGGCCAAGCTACATTAAGTAGCAAGCCTTAGCTTTAAAAATAAACACCCCCAAAACACAACCTTCTGCCACTGACCCCAAAGTGCAGCAGGGAAACTTGGAGCTTCCTGGGACTGAAGGGACCAAGTTCTCAGCACAAAGGAGATTTATTTTCCCCGGAGGGACAAAGGGAGACTAAGACAAGAGATAGAGCAAGAGGGAGAAGGGGAAGGGGCAAAGGGATATCCGGGGTGAGGGGGCCTCTGGATAGAAAGGACACAGACATAAGCCAGCAGGCAAATGGCAGTTTATAAAGGTAAAAGGGGAAACCCTATGTTAGAATGAGGTGTTTAATGGGCGTGTTAATTAGGACAGTAAAAAGAGTGCTTTTGATTGCTACTTCAGTACTTTGATAACTGGACCTTGGTTGTCAGCTTCAGGAGGAAGAAGTGGCCAAATCAGGGAATAGAGCTTGGTGGTTTGCTTTAGGAGTGTTATCTAACAGTTTTCAGCAAGGCAGAGGGAGTCAGGGAGAAGGGCAAGGCCTGCCAGAGCTATGGTCGCCATTCTCAGGCTGGCTAGAGTCCCTTCGGGGACTAAGTGAGGTGATTGTCCCAGAACCTGGTCCTCTGAATGAGGACCCTAATTAACGATTTTGTGATCCACACTCTTAGTGATACTGACTGCCCATTAGGTTGTCCGTCAGCAATCACAGCTTATCTGATTACACGATAGGTTGTGAATAACCCTGTGACACTCAAGGGCCAGAGCTACAGACACCAGAAAAGCTACTTTGCTACCTCAGTTTTCCATCTGAATAGAACACAGTACTGTAGCAGCTGACCACTAATAGCAGGGCTTTCTGTAGGGCCTCTGCACCTCCGATAAACATTAGGTTTTGCTGATTTTTGACAAATTGGAAATAAGTACTTTCAGATTTTAACTGTAAGTATGAATTAATTTTATAAACAGAAATGAGGGGAAGAAGAAAAGAGGGAGAGAGAAGAAGGGAGAGGGAGAGATTCTTTTAGAAGTAAGAAGTCCTCTTATGTCTGGCCTTGGAGGGTTCCAGTAAGTGATCAGAATAGGAGGTATGGAGAGGCCTGGCTCCCAAAGGTCTAGGAGCTGGGCATGACTGCAGTACCTGTACTCCTAGCTACTTGAAAGGCTGAGAAAGGAGGACTGGAAACTCCAGGCTACATTCATAGGTCTGACCTTTAGATCTGAACAGCAATATGTCTGGAGTACCACCTGAAGCTTTCAGTAGTGCCAAGGAAGATTCTAGAACACTTCTGAGAAAACCAGAATGTTGAAGATGTAAATAGTGAGGTCAAGAGAGCGCATAGTATGGACTGAAAAGCATCACTCAGAGTCCACAGCTGCGTGTTCTTTGATTATTTATTATTATCATGAGACAGTGGTAATAGAAATGAATTTAACGTTGTGAAGAGTCAGGATGACAGTGAGGTTCATCGTTTGGTGTGAAGGACATTTGTGGCCAGGAGCCAGGACCCAAATAACTAAGAGGAAGGCACCTAGGAAGGCTCTGCTAGGGTCTCATCCAGAGGGACACTGGGCCCTACGGTGGAGATGCCCTTCCCTTCATGCCAGGTGAGGTTTCTGCTCTCAGCTTTCAGAATCTCCTAAGAAAACTACAGGATGCTGTGCCACTAAAACGGATAGACAGACGAAGAGCTTGACAAAGCATGACCAGCTTAGGAGGAGAGGAGGCTGGTAAGGGAATTCAGATGATCTTGCTACTCATTTCCACTTTTTTAAACCCATGGGACACTGAGTGTTAGGACTTTTGCAGGTTTGCATTTTTTTAAGTGGATGGGATTGTTCGAATCATCAACTCTACAATATGACTTCCTTTTGGGATAGATTAGGAACACTTAATATAGCAGAATCAGATATTTGGGTAGATAGATTTTCTTTGACTTAATTTTCAATACATGTATGTATATGCCTACCAGAACTACACTTCTGCATACAAAGCTGTTCACACATGCATTAGTTGGAACACAGGTAGTGTTGCATGCTTTGGTCATATGAAGGCTGGTGAAGGGGTGGAGCAAAGACATTATTTGTAAAGCATACCCTAGTGGGTATGAGATTGGTTTAGGTACTCCATGATGTCTGATTGGACAGTGCTGACAGGAGTCTTGTGGAACCAGCGCATGACAGGGACTCCATCTGGCCCCACCAGGAACTTCTCAAAATTCCAGCGGATGTCATGGACCCTCATGGGATTCCAGAAGAGATATTCCGTAGAGCCCAAAAGTTCAGAAGTGGGAGGGCAGGAGTTCTGGAGTAGAGATATGAAAAATGGGAAGATGATCTCATTTCTGCTTCTGTGTTGTGCAGTCTTCTCTGCTCACTGCTGTAAATCTTAATGTTTTAAACTCCACATGCGTCTGGTCCCTCCCAGATCTGTTAGGATACTGCCACCTGCACACCAAAGCCATTCTAACCAGGATAAAAAGTGTGACAGTCAGTGAAAAGCACCCACTTTGCTGCCTCTCCTCTAGTCTCATGATTTTATCATGAGTAAAAGAATACCTTCAGCTGGGCATGATGGCACATACCTTTAATTCTAGCGCTTGGGAGACAGAGACAAGTGGATCTCTAAGTTCAAGACCAGCCTGGTCTATAGAGTGAGTTCCAGGACAGCCAGAGTTGCTACACAGAGAAACCCTGTATCAAAAAAATCCATTTCTTTCAGTATGTCATGTTTTCTATGATCTCAGTATTCATAGATGAAAAATAATAGATTGGTTTTAGAGCAGTAGTTCCCAAACCTTGAGACTTCACAAGCCATAGAAGTTCAATAGTTATTTTGTCAATAAGAAAATTAAAAATCTGTCATAAGTATAAATTTAAATCTTAAGATATTTTACTTATTTACTTTCTTTTTCTTTTCTTTATATTTATTTTAAATTAGGTATATACATGTGTGTGTGTGTGTCATGTGGGTGTGTACACCTATGAATACAGGCCCTGCAAATTTCAGAACAGGTGTTTGGATCCCATACTGAACAGGTAGTTGTAAGCTGCATAATGTGGATTCTGGAACTAATCTGGAGATCAGTACATGCTCTTCCTGTTGATGTGGCCCTCCAGCTCCACACTCTTTGTTTATTTGTTTATCTATTTAGTCAGTCAGTCAGTCAGTCAGTCAGCTAGCTTCATTCAAGAGCCCAAGTTGGTCTGAAACTCAGTGTGACTGTGAAGTCAACTTCTCAAGTGTGGGATGTCACCACACTAGATAGGACTCTTAAATATTAGGCAGCTCTGTGTGGATAATACCACTGCTTTGTTATGTAGCTGTAACTTGCCTGGAGAGGACTATTTAGACTAAGTTAGCCTAGAATTCACAGCCATCCCCTGCCTCTATATTCTGAGTACTGGCATTATAGTTATGAGCCACCGTGTTTTGTCATGGTCATTGTGCTATAAAAAGCAGTTCATGTAGTGTAGCCTGACCATAGCTTATTATTGGAATAAATGATTGTCTTTTATATTTGAATAATTGTATCTTTAATTTCAGTTTGCTGTGGGTGAGTAAAAATATCCACAGGGACAGCTTTGGTCTGCAAACCATCCTCTGGGGACAAGTGACTAAGTGATCCTTGTTGGGAAGGTCATTCTCTCCTGTTGTTTTGCAGCTGTAATACTCTGTGATTCTTTTCCATAGCACTCTCTCTTAGTCATGCCTATGTCATCTCTGACTTTATAATAGAGCCTTCATATAAGAGACTAACCTATTAATAACTTTTAACTTGTATTTCACCCTTCCTTGAATAAAGTCGGGATTTAATTAAAGATCGTCACATAAACAAATCAGTAGTGTTAATCAGGGAAGGCTAATCCCCATCAGAGCTATCCTGTATCTTTCCTCATGTCTGTGAATTTACTCCTTAAGGAATTCCAAGTCATCATAGACACCTGCCCCAGTGCTTCCAGAGAATCCTACCTAACTGATCCATGCCATGTTTATTCACTCACCTTTAGGAAAGAAAAAATCTTTTGTTCATTTTCTCCATTCACGTCCCCTTTCTCAAAAAGCTGGAAATTGGGGACATAGCCACCTCCTGGGCGCACATATCTGCAGTGAAACAAGGTGTTCTCAAGAGACTCCAAATTAAATACAGGAGGGATAGGAATGGCCACCAGTGATCCTCACAAAGGGAAGGAGAGGACTGCAGAAAGAGAGAGGAGGAAGAGGGCCTCTGGGATCCAGATTCCAAGTAGGAGGCTTCATGGAATCAGAGGATTCCAAGACACTGGGGAGACGATATTGACATCAGATTTCCCGGACCATCTGTGTCTGTCTCCCCATTTCCTCTGTGTCCATCTTTCCCCTAAATGTCTTTTCCTTATCTCCTTCCTAGTCTCACCCTCAAGGAAGTCTCATGTGGGCATTTCCTGCAGGACTAGATGGAATTCAAGGCATCATGATGACTCATTTCAGCCCATTGTTCCATTTCCTATCCTAGAAGATTCTGGAATGAGATGGTATCTAGGCAGATGAGGAAAGGGCATCTCTGGGGCCCCACATAGCACTCACTTGAGTCCTAGGAGGATCTCTGAGTTCTTTGCAGGTTCTTGTTTTCCAAACTGGTTGCAAGGAAAGCCCAAAACAATGACATTGAACTGCTTCAGCTCCTCCTGCAGCGTGTTCAGCTCTGTAGGTAGAGGGTGAACAGCATGGACAGACTTCCTGATCAAGGCTCAAAGGGCCACGAGGTTTATCCTCTCATCACACGAATGCACTGAAGACTATGAAAAGTTACAGACATTAAATAGGCAGAGCAAACAGCTACAACACAGGTTTCCAGGAACTCATGTCAATGGCTGCTGGTTTTGTGGCACAAAGTCTCTCAGATTTCATGGCTCCCCATCTTCCATGCAGAGTTTATTTAAAGCAAATAGACATTAACTCATTAGACCTATGAAAAATCCTACTTGACTCTGAAAGGAGGCTAGACTCAAGATGCATTCTCTTCATTAGCTGGTGGATCAATTGAGATGTTTCATAAAGAAAAAGCAAACCAAATGGGCACGCTCTCCTGTCCTCCCACCATGCCTCATGATGGCACTACAGTCACTTTCCCAGAAGCACACTTTGCTGTTGCACATTAGAATTAATAGAAGGAAACAGAAAACCAGAGTCTGGTTGCAGTGCTCACCTATAATCCCAGCAGTTGGGAGATACAGGCAAGGGGATGGTCAGCCTGATCTGTACAGTGGGTACCAGGCTAACCAAGTTTACATAGTGAGATACTTTCTGGGGGGGGTGAGAAAATCTGGTTACATAGCATTCTCTACCCTGACCTCAATACCAATGAACTAAGGCCATTTCCACCTCTGGGATCCCAGGCACACAGTTTAGACTGTTCTTCATACACCCAAAGCCTATTATGTGTCTGCTCTGTCTTCAGTCATTTTTAGTTTAGAGTTACTCCTCAGAACGAGCCACTAAGCTCACTTAGGCTCAGCTCTGCTTGCCAGTGACTCCCCGAAGAGCCTCTTCCTAGATAAGAGTGTCTTCAAGTTTTAATTTTCTCTTGTATATCTTATGTGAAAGTATATGTTTAATACATTTTACATAAAATTTATTTTGAGACAGTTTCATGTATGATCAGGATGGCTTCCAGCTTACTATGCAGCGAAGGATGACCTTGAACTTCTGACCCTCCCACCTCCACCTTCCTCTTCCCAATGCTGGGATTAAAGATCTGCATTACCACACTGGTTTGTGTGGTGCTGGGGTTTGAACCTAGGGTTTCATACAGGCTAGGCAAGTATTCAATCAACTGAACTACACCTCCAACCTATATAAAAATAATTTATATCAACAGTCTCCCACATTTCTTCAGTAACTGCCTACATTCACCTGTCTCTTACCTTCAGCTTCCTCCTTGTAGGAGAAACACAGCAGACCTCAATTTTAGTCTCTGTTAAGCTCTGAGACCTCTCAACTTTTTCACTGAGTAAAATTTGAGGTGTTCTTTAAAATTCTCATGATGTAGTTTAATTCAAAATGAGCAAATTAATCAGTCATAGTGATTGAAGCCTGTAATCCCAACACTTGGGAGATAGATCAGGAGGATCAAAAGTTCAAGACAAACCTTGTTTACTGGAGACCTTGTCTTAAGCAAACAGAAAAGTGAGGTGTAGGTGGCATTTTTCCATTGGGATCATGATTAACTCTGTTTGTCAGCTGCTTACCTCATAATCGGAGACTTATTACTAATTATAAATGATCAGCCAATAGCTCGGGCGTGTTATTAGTTAACTCTGACAACTTAAATTAACCCATTTATATTAATCTACATTCTGGAACGTAGCGTTACCTCTCTTGTCTTGCTCCTCCTGTTTCCTCTCTGTGTTTGGCTGGCAGCTCCTCTGACTCTGCCCTTCTTTCAAATGTCCTCCTAGTCTGGCTCTCCCACCCAGTCTCTTCCTGCCCAGCTATAGGCCAGTCAGCTCTTTATTAATCAATGAGAGTAATACATATTCACAGTGTACAAAGGTTGTTCTACAGCAGTGAGGAAACAGCAGGCACTGATAAAGAATAACATCCAAGGCATTTTATTATGCAAAGGAGCAAGGTGAAACCTAATTTGTGTGTATTTATTCTTATCTCTCTTACACACACACACACACACACACACACACACACACACACACACAAGAAAGAGAGACTGACTTCAGGAAAAATATATTATAAACTATACAAATTTGGGCAATGTGCCTGTTAAACTCTCTTGTATCTTTTGAAAGTTGTGAAGTATTATATACTCAACGCATGTATTAAAATTAAATCTTAAAACATTCCCTCAGACCTACACAAATGGTAGCCAAGTATTCTACCATTGAGCCATACTATTAGGCCTACAACTAAATTATAACAACTTTCCAAATCTACCATATTTTCAACTTTTTGAAGGAAAGAAAATCCTCATTGGTTAACTGATAATAAATTGACTTTTTACTCTTAAATTTAGGTTCTTGGATTTTCTAAGAATTTAATATATAACCTTTCAGGTTTTTCTTAAAGTTGATTCCACATAAGGCTATAGAAACAGTGACTAAGAGCACTGACTGCTCTTCCAGAAGACTTGGGTTCAATTCCCAGCGCTCCCATTGCATCTCACAACTATCTATTACTCCAGTTCCAGAAGATTCAATATTTCTTCTGGACTCTGTGGGTACTGCATGCATGTGGTTCACATACATAGATGCATATATTCATATATCCAGACAAAACAACCGTATACATAAAATAGAAAAAGAAGACAAGAACAAAAAAACCTGCAATTTCACCACTAAATTGAAATAAGTCTTTATCTTCTCTTAAAATATGAACCAGTTGTTTGTCTGTGGTTTATATCATGTGGTATTTTATTCTTTTTTTAATTTCCTTGATACAGGGATTCATGTAGCATCCACCTACCGAATGTGATTACAGGCTGTACTATTAATGCCTGCCTGAAGAAGCACCATTTTAATATAACCACAGCTAATTCAAGCATCCTCCTCTGAATAACTTCAAAATACCAAAATTTGATGGCACATGTGTCCTGGATAAGACATTGTAGTATGCATCAATTTAAGTAGTAAGCAGAAAATTCTAGAATTTGTAATTATTATAGTTGCATTAAAACAAATTGATAGTGTGTAATAATGTTGTTCACACATCGAATCCAAGCATTTGGGAGGCAGAGGCAGAAGGATCATTAATTTGAAAGAGTGAGATCCTATCTCAAAAATTACTTTTGAACAGCATCTGATATTTTTGATTAGTCAAGTAAGTAGTAATGTCAACATGTGGAATTTATAAAAACTTATTCCTGTATTATTTTGGTCCAATTATCTGTAGCATTTGATTCAATAAACATTTTGAAGTTATCATGGATATCCTTAAAGCAATAATGTTCTTAGTATATATATATATTACTTGTACAATTCATGGGGAAACTTATATGATTGTATTTGGATTAACAAAAACATAAAATTCTCCCATGATGGACACAATAGGGAAATGAGACATTCTCCTATATTTACCATTTGCTCCAAGCAGCCTTGATGCCAGTTACAGCAGCTTGGATAAATACCTTCATTCTCCTCTATCATTTGGGGGTGCCTCCCAAAGATAAAAAACAGTCTTATATCCTGGTGGTGGTGGTGGTAGTGGTGGTAGTGGTGTGTGTGTGTGTGTGTGTGTGTGTGTGTGTGTGTGTGTGTGTGTGTGTAGATAGGGAGTAGATGTTTGGTATTTTCTTCTATTTATCCCCACCTTATGTTTTTCTACTTTATAATATATGACATATGTTATATTTTTTAGAACGTCTCTTGCTGAACAGGGCTCGCTGTTTTACCTAGACTGGCTGGACAGTCAGCCAGAGGAATGCACCTGCCTCCTCACCTCTTGTCTCCCCGTTCTAGGCTTACGGCTTACAGGCTTGTGCCTCTACCATGTTTGGATTTTTGTAGGTTCTAGGAAACTGAATACAAGTCTTCATGTGTGTTCAATAAACACTTTCTACACTGAGATACTTCCCTAGCCTCCTGATGTTTGTTTTTGTTTTGATATGGGATCTTAAAAAGTAGTTCAATGTTTGAAAATGACTTTGAACTCCAGATCCTCCTGCCTCCCACTCACAAATGCTGAGATGACAGGTTTGTATCACTATCAAACCCAGGACCAAACCCAGGATTTTGTGTATGCTGAATATGCTGCCAACTGAGCTACCTGACCAACCATATAATCTGTATTATGACTCCCCATTCACTTTTGGTTTAATGCAAGCCCATCTCCACTATTCTGGCTTCTGACTATGAGTCACAGAAAGACTTTGGTGTTTGGTGTTGTATCAATCAACTCCACAGAACATCAACATCAGAGTTTGCAACCATGACCAATCAAGACTGAACACACACACACACACACACACACACACACAGTGTCTAAATCACAAAGTGACCACTTGTCACCCTGCCAATATAAATTATTGCAACTGCTTTACCATTTACAGATTCTTCAGCCTTTCTGTTCCTCTCATAATATAGATTTTATAAGATAACCAATCACATAATTGCCCCCTTCTACATTTCCTGACAGCCCTTAATCCAGAACAAACATCCAGTTCTTTTGAATCCTTCTCCACACTACCTGACACCAGCTCAGATGGCCTGAGTCTTTTTTATCCCTTCCTGAGAAGCTTCCGTGTTTCCTGTGGCAGATGGCAGCAACTCCAACTTGTTCAACCACAGATGAGTTCTTAGTGGTTTCCAGCATATCCCTGGGAAAACCTTGGTTCTCAGAACACAGATAATTCTGGCATTAAAAGCAGCAGGATGGGAAAATTTAGGGGAATAGCATCAGCATGCTTATTCATTCCTCAATCCCAGCAACACAGCAAAGCCTTCTCCGTTGACAATATGGTAGTATGGCAGGCTAGTTCTGAGAGAGAATTGAAGTTGGAGTTCTTACCAGGATAAGTAGCTGTCAGGCCACAGAAGGAGGCCACGTTGACGAAGAGGATGTGCTTTCCTGCATACTGCTGGAAAGGAACATACTCCCCGCCAGTCAGGGTCTTGGCTCCATACTCATAGATGGTGCCAGCCACACCTTTGTTGCAATCCACCTGTAATATAACACAAGTAACTGTAGTGGTATGACCTAACAAACCATAATTCTCGATGCCTGCCAGCATTTTCAAAGCACTGGAAGATTTTTTCATGCAATATTTTGAAATTTTAAGAACTGAAGAATTTCTGTTTGAGGAACTTCACACCCAAGCAGGCATTGGTGGTGGACACAGACCTGGGTGTCCCTAGAGGGTGCCCGCTCCACTGGGCTGGGATCTTATTTAATAGTAGATAACTTATGACTTTACAGCTGCCAATCAGAATTTTACAAGCATCCGTACCCTTCACATGGCCAATAACAGAGGTCAAAGGTCAGACTTCAGGGCTTGCATAAGCATCACGTGAGAATTTTAGAACTGTTTGGGCTCCCAAGAAGACAATCTGGGTCAAAAGCTCTAGGAACGGGTTCTATTTAGCTAAGGTCTGGGAATCACTGTGCTCTATGATAAGCTTGTCCCTCACCTTTTATGGAAGGGAGCCAGAATTGACAAGAGACATATAAGTAGCTTAAAGACACAAGTGAGGTTGAGGTTTTCAACAAGTTTCTATGACTTTAAGGTTAAAATATATTGATCCCTCATGTCATCTCTATTAGCCCTATTCTGCCGTCTAGATGTATGCATGCATTATTTTTTCTAACAGGGATGGATACTGACTCCATATGGATACTTTAGGATACAATCCCTCTTCTTAGCTCCTTGCGAGGGTTTTTGGCTACTGCCCCCAAACTGTGATGATTGTGCAGCTCCTTGGAGCAACACCAAGATATAAGAAGTCCTCACCCTGAGCTGAGCTCTCTCTCCACACCCTCCACCCCCACCCAGTCAGCCTCTGTGTCTTAATAGTCACTGAAGAAAAGTCCCTCTTTCCCTCACCCCGGAGCTCTGGAGCCCAGTCCAGTTTCCTCTTCTCTACTCTAGGTTTGGTCCAGTTGGTCTGAAAACAGTCAGCCTCCCTCCCAACTCACTAGCTACTTAACTCATGGGGCTGCTTCAAGTCACAGACCAGCATGGGACAAGGCAGATTCTGAGGTGTCAAGCAGCCATCGAGGAGAAGTGGCAGAGGCAGCTGGCGTGGGGGTAGGGACATAGCTAGCTATATTCTCAAAGATCAGCTGCAGAGAAAGAGACATGCGTGGCAATCACGATAAAGCGCAATGAACAGGCGGGAAAGGTGCATGGCGGAGGGCAGCAGTGGCGGTGGTCTGCAAAGAAAGGCTCTCAGGCAGCTCACTCCCTTCAAGAACAGGACAGGTCCCTGAATGTCTTGGTAACCGCTTTACTTACCAGATGATGGAATCAGCTTCCATGCCCTGGGGGGTGCTTACCTTTGCTTTTTGAAGATTCAGAGTCTCCTGAGCCAAGGCAGCTAGAAACAGTGGGAAAAGACAGGAGGCCCAGAACGCCTGGGCCATGGCTCTGCAAGGAACACTGGCTGAGTGTCGAACCTCCGAAACTGTGATCCCTTTTGAGCATCCCCAGCAGGTACCAGTTTGGAGATGCACAGCCAATCACAGAGCTGCTGTCACTCTCCACCTCTCTCCTTCTCTCTCTTCTCCAGCTATGCTCTCCTGATACAGGAGACACGTGGGTAGGCACATGTTCTGACAGCTGAAGGTGAGATGAAGGTGGACACGTTTTTTGTCCGGAACCTGAGAGTCTGTACCTCCCCTCGCCAAGTGACTGGAGCAACTCAGGCCACTGAATCGCAGCCTACTTTTCCACAGCATATTCACGAGGTTTGTGTGCAAACTTAAGTTTGAAAAGCATTGACTCAAATTGTCAACAGCCTGGAGACACAGGCACTCACAGTCTGAGAGTTCTCTTCCCCCTTAGGGACCTCTGTCCTGCTCAGGAAAAGCCAGATCCTTGATTACACTGCTGAAAAGAATTTCGAGACCAGAGAGAACAAAGCAGTTAGTATAGCAGGTATTTAGACAAAGAGTCACGTAGGAAAAGGCAGTGTACAATCCCACAACATAGCTGTATGGGCTGTTGTGGTTTTCTTCCAGTCCTCAAAGCTTGTAGTTTACAGCAAGACTAGTGAAGCTCAGAATAAGGCTTAAAAGCAAAAAATACATGCCCTGGTTTAGTTTGTAAAGATTTAAACTCAAATGTTAATTTAGTATTTCGTGTCTGCTGTGTGAGCATGCACAGGGAGGCCCTAGAACAAGTGTGGCAGCTGGTTCTCTTCTTCTACCTTACATGGGCCGTTGGGCTTTTGTTTGGTTGTTTTGTTGTTTGGTTGGTTTGGTTTGGTTTGGTTTGGCTTTTCAAGACAGGGTTTCTTTGTGTCGCCCTTCCTCACTGCCCTGGAACTCGATTTGTAGACCAGGCCTCAAACACAGAGATCTGCCTGCCTCTACCTCCTGAATGCTGGGATTAAAGATATGTGCCACTGTTTTCATGTATCCCAGGCTGGCCTCTAATTGATTTGCAGCTGGTGGTGACCTTGAACATATGATCTTCCCGACTTCACCTCTGGGCTGATACAGATGTTTGCCATCACACCTTGTGTTCTGTGAGGCTGAGGATTGAACCCCAAACTTCTTGCATACTAAGCAAGTGTCTACAACCTGAGCTATTATTCATCCCCAGTCCTATTGCCTTAGCCAGGGTTACCATTGACGTAACCATAGCAGATTGGGGAGGAAAGGGTTTATTTGGCTTATGCTTCCATAACACTGCCCATCATCAAAGGAAGTCAGGATGGGAACTCAAATGGGGCAGGATCCTGGAGGCAGGAGCTGATACAAAGGGCATGGAGGAGTGCTACTTACTGACTTACTCTTCATGGCTTGCTCAGTCTGTTTTTTAACAGAACCCAGGACCACTAACTAGCCCAGGGGTGGCACCACCCACAATGAGCTGGTCCATCCCCCATCAATCAATAATTAAGAAAATGCACTACAGGCTTGCCTACAGCACAATCTTACGGAGGCAGTTTCTCAATTTCGGTTCTCTTTGCTCTGATGACTCTGATGACCAACCAGAACATCTACTTTTCCTTCCTTCCCTTCCCTTTCCTTCCTTCCTTCCTGCATGTGTATGAGTGTTTTGTCTGAATGTATGTATGTGAGCCACACACATGCCAAGGTGCCTGCAGAAGCCAGAAGAGGGCATTGGATCCCCTGGGGCTAGGGCTACAGGCAGTTGTGTGTTGCCATGAGTGCTAGGAATCAAACCTCTAGAAGATCAGCCAATGCTTTTAACTGCTGAGCCATATTTCCAGTCCCATATTTTTCTTAAAGAATCCTATCTCTTTCTCTCTCTCTCTCTCTCTCTCTCTCTCTCTCTCTCTCTCTCTCTCTCTCTCTCTGTTTTTTGTTTGTTTGTTTGTTTGTTTTTTGTTTTTTAGAGACAGCGTTTCTCTGTATTGTTTTGGAGCCTGTCCTGGAACTCGATCGGTAGGCCAGGCTTGGTCTCGAACTCACAGAGATCACCTGCCTCTGCCTCCTGAGTGCTGGAATTAAAGGCGTGTGCCACCACCGCCCAGCCCTATCTCTCTTTTAAAAAGTTAAATTAAAGGCTATTTTACTGTTTATATTTAGGGACAAATGAGGACTACTAACACAGTAAAGCTCAGAGTCACAAATATTCTGGCCTAACGTAAACATAACTCATCCATTGTTTTTAACATCCTTGTTTGAGGTGTTTTTAGGAAAACACAAATTACTTCTGCAGGCAATTTTGGGTTGATTTGTTGTGATGAGATTTCTTGACTTTCAGGGAGCAGAAAGGGCAGACTAGATCCCAAGGTAACAGGGTTTCTTTCTCTTCTCATGCTCCCTTGATTTCCCCATCCTTTTTTAATCTGCCTCACAATGACCATCATTTGTTCTGTCTTTTCAAACTTCACCACTTAAACAAAAACAAATGTCAAGTTTTTAAAATATGAAGCCAGACTATTGATGCTAAGCATTTCCGTTTTGCCCCTCACTCTGGCCCCTGGGGAAAAGTTCCTCGGCAGAGGAGGAATAAAAAGAAGGACATTCATTCATAGTGGAAAGTTATCAACGAGAAAGCTGTAGGTCATGAGTCAGGAATGACCTGGCCTTCGTCTCCTCCTCTGCAGATACTTGTAATAATCTCTGCCCCGCCTGTGTTAAAAATGTGTTATTGTGAAGTTTTAATAAGATAACAGCCGGAATCTTGTTCCCAAATCTTTGAAGTGGAAGAGAATTGTATTTCCCGGCTGCTTCCTCCAGCATTCTCTCCCATCCACCTGGTTTTTACTGTCGGCTTGAGTTCATGAGAAAGTCTTCCTCTCCAGTTCTAAGCCTTCTGTCATCCAATCCTTGCCACCTGCCCTGCCCCTTCCAAGTTCACACAAAGGGCCTTCTATGTCTCTGAGAAATGGGATCTGGATGGAGTCCAATTCTTGTGAACTCTGAGAAGGCACCCTTTTTGTTATCTGGTATTTCTGTGTTCCTCTAAAGTCCAGGATCTGCTCCAGACACCAGTGCAGCCACGCCACTCTCCGGGGCCTTGAAGCAGCCGTGAAGAAGGTGCCCCTCTTACTGCACATCTCCAGGTTCTTCAGCCTTCTCCCAGTCTCAGTTTTGAACCTTAGAGTGAGTGTATTTTCCCACTTAACAAAATGTGAACATAGACTTATAAAAGATCACTTGACTTGCATTTTTCTATCTGTTTTTGTTCTTCAGATGCACTAACTATGCATATTAGGAATGTTAAGAGTGGTATTTGTTTATTTCAGGGTCCTACTCTGTAACCTTGGATAGACTGCAACTTACTATGTAGGCCAGGCTGGTCTCAAAACTCATGGCAAATCTCTGCTTCAATGTCTCATGTGCTGGAGTTACAGTCATGAGCCACCACCTGGCTTAACGGCGATGCATTTGCTATAGTTCTCTTTTATTTACATTTTTGTACATGTTTTGCCTTGTACTGCCTAATGCTTGGGGAAAATTTCAGATTCAGGCTGGCTATGACTCTAATTCTGAGCTTTCATGATGACCACTGACTGGCCCCAACTTAAAGTCCTCCTGAGACTCAGTCATTATTATGAGAAATCCTACTTTCATCTGTTTCAGGAAATAGTTCTAGTTGTTGGTGACACAAGAGAGAGACTACGAAAAGATGAACATGTGCCTTCCTAGGTACTGTTCATGCCCATTGCTCTTAACACAATGTACCCCGGAGTCCCACCATGTCCCCACAGAAACACAACATCTGAAACGCTGTGGCTGCCCTAGATGGAGATGCTCTAAAGATGTAACCAATGGTTACCAAAGAATGAAAATCTCCCCCAGAGTCCTATGCTAGGTAAAGAGAAAGGCTGAGTGAGACGCAGCTATCAACCAGAGGAAGAAGTGACTCCCAGGTAGATATTTTACACAGTGCTGACAGTTTGCTTCACAGTCCAGAGTTGAGACAATGATGTGTCAGTGATGGGAAGGACTACACATTAATCAGGACTTCTTAGGTAAGAACATCCCTTGCTCTCTATAAACCTAAACCCCAGTTCAGTATTCCAAAGATAGCTCTGGGGGTCATTAGACCTCTTTGCTTGTCCCTTCTCACTTGAGGCCACAATCAATAAATCCTCCCTTCTCTGCTTTTTACTATTGTCTCTTTAATTGATCTTCTGAGGAATGGTGGCTGAATTTATCTTATGGGGACTGCCAGGGCCCAGATTTTGACCATAACTACTACAGTAACAATGTCCATAGTGCTCACAAAGAGCTACTGTCTCATTGGTCACAGGACTAGATGTCCCCCAACAAGACATAGTCCCAAGGTTGCCTTAACTTATGTCTACTTTTCTCTGGGAAGGAAGGAGAATGCTTATGTCAATATGACAGGCTAATTCCAGATATTCTTTTAGAGTTAAAGATTTGAGACTAAAAGATGATCAAATTTACCTATTTTCAAATTTCCTTTCTTCCCTCCTGCCCCCGTTTTCATTTTTGTGAGAGAGACAAGACACCCAAACTTTCTGCTCGTAAATGCATTCATTAATGACTTGCACTGGCTTGGACTCACATGCATAGGCTGAAGCCTTTCATAGTCTGCCTTAGTTCCCCCTTTACATTTTAGCATATTTGGCCAGACTGTGATGCACTGCCTTTAATTCCAGCACTTGGGAGGCAGAGGCAGGCAGATCTCTGAGGCCAGCCTGGTCTACAGAGCTAGTTCCAGGGCTACACCAAGAAACCTTTGTCTCCCTTATACAGTAGCGTTACATTTTGCTGGTGTGGTCTATGTTACAGGGTCACTGCAGAATGGATTGCTTGCACATCATACTATTATATTACTTAGCTTCTCTTTGTTCTGAGAGGGTCTTTACCTATCACTAAGTTTGTGGTAATTTCTGGCAGGAAAGTAATATGGGCTTTAGTAGAAAGTTTGGTACAACTGTAACAAATACATAAGTAAAGTCTTTGGGACTGAAAAATGGAGGACACTACAAAAAATATTTGAGGTGCATGATAGAAAAATATAGTTTGC